CCAACCCCCGCATTTTTTTTACTTTTGTTTTTGTATTTTCAATTTTTAATTTTTTTATTTTTCTGCACCATCCACCCACCCCACCCGCAAAATATTTTTCAACTTACACATTTTAAATACTAATTTGTTATTTAAGAAAATATATTTTGATTCTCAAAATATTAATAGTATTTATTTACCTTTTATGCATATGTGTATAAAAAGGTAAAAGACTTTGTTTATGAAAGATGAGCATGGTTCTAAAACATGGGTCAAGTTGGGCGGGTTGGGTTATGACCCATTGTTTAGCCCATCTTAGACCAAGTACACTTTGGGTTGGGTTGGGCAATGATCTATTTATTGACCTAACCCATTTTGACCCGCCCAAATTCAACCCAACCCGCCCATTTGCCACCCCTATTGATGATGCAGCTTTTTGGGATTTTTTTGTTGCAACTAAAGTTTCTTATTAATAGCATATTCCGGGCTTCTGGTATGGGTTTCTATATAAATACAAAGGCAAAATCGAAAAGAGATATTTATAAATAAAAGAAATAAGTTGCAAATATACTTATAACCAGTGTTTTAAAAGGCGTGGGCGAGTCTCAGGGTGAGCCCCACAGAGGATCGTAGTAAAAAGAGCAATTTATGCAAAATACCCATTGAGTGTGAAATAATTACCCTTTCTTACCCATTTTAAAAACTAGTTACAATATATACCTACCCAATTAAAATTAATTATCACTTCCTGCCCACCCATCCCAATTTTTTTTTACCCATTTGGCTTAACTTAGCTTGATTTTGGCTTAGCTTCGCTTGAATTGACTTGGTTTGACTTGATTTGGTTTGACGTGACTTGAATTGACTTGGTTTGGTTTAAATTGACTTGGTTTATAGTAACTTAATTTGACTTTATTTGGCTGGGTATTAAAAAAATTAGATAGTAGGGAAAAAAGGTATGGGTAGGGGCTGGGTAAATATTTTTCGCCGAATGGGTATTTGCTAAAAACGCACCGCGGCGATCTTGGGGGGCAAAAGTATCGTGGTAGACGTAAGCCCATTGTTCTGAGCGTACTGCAAGGCATTGAGCGCTCGTGATGGCATAAGCCTAGAAAATCTCATTAAATCAAAATTAAATTGCTAAAAAGTGCTTAATATCAAAAAAAAAAATACAAAATTCAACTTTTTAATATATTCTAAAAAGTTAAAAACTTAAAAAATCAAGATTTTTAATTCTTAACCCTAATTTCTATTCTTTCTTTTCATCTTCGAACGGTAAATGGGCAAATGATCAATTTGCAAATTATAAAGCAAATTGATCTTTTAAGTTAGTTCCTTCTTCACTTTCTTCTTTTCATGTTGTTTTGCTCTTTCAAGTTAGTTCATGTCGGGTTTTTTTTCAATGCCTAATTAGTTTCTTTAGACGAAGTAGTTCTGATTAGTTTTTTAGTTAATTGTTGATTGTGATTAACGCTTAAAATGAAGCAGTTCTATATATATTTTCACTTATTTTATATTTTCTTGAAATTTTTATATTTTTTACTCCATCCGTTTCAACTTGTTTGAACCTCTTACGAGCAAGAAGGTCAAAGTAACTAATTTTCAGTGTGAATTCAGATATTGATTCTTTAATTTTTTTTATATATTTAGAAATTACATAAAAAGTACTAAAAGTTTCTATAGTTAACAATTTAAAATATTTTAAAACTATTTACAAAAAATATGGTCAAAATCTTGTTTGACTCCCAAATTGTAAATTGTTCATTCTTTTTTAAACGGATGGAGTATGTAATTTTATATTTTTTAAAAATATTTATTTTTCTCATATTAATTTATAGAAATAATTAAAATTGCTGATCTATGAGGCTTATGCCCAATGCCTTCGCTTATGCCTCACCGCGTATCAATTAGACCCCCCTTGCCGCCTTGCCTTTTAAAATACTGTTCATAATATTTGTGGTTTGTGCCTCAGATTTGATTGATAAGGTGAAAGCCATGCGGGGGTATNATATATATATTGTATACGGTCAAAATCGGGTTCGCCTCTTGTGCAACTAATCGAGACTGAAAAATGATAGGTTAAAGTTCAACCTCGAATTATATCGAATCGAGGTGCGAATCTATATCGTTAAACTCGAGACCATGTTATCGAACAAAATCGAGATCAGACGAGTTCGAGAAAAATTTACCAAGTCGAATAACAGAAGGACGAAATATCCGCGATCGGTTGTAGATCACGGCAAAAATCTCGGCACGTATCAAGGATAGGCCGATTGATTAGCAAATCATGAGATTTCTTACCTTGTATAGAATTGTATCAAGAGTAGGACTCCCCTACTATATAAAGGGGGTCTGATCATTTATAAGCGGACACATTACGCAACATAAAGCAATATACTGTCATTTTATAGCTTTTTATTATCTTGTTATTCTGCTCATACATCAGTTGAGATATCTCTCAGATCAAGGTGATCGAACTCTAGGGCCAAGACTGTTCGATTTGGCAAATAGTTTGGTATAAGGTTGTTCTATTCGTGCGGTTTGCATTAATTCTTTTATCGTCAATTTCAATTTTAATCTGTTTCCTTAATTTGTATCAAGTGATATCATGTATCCTTAAAACCGCGTATAAATTCAATTGTTATCCGATTTTTAGGGTAAACAGTTTGGCGCCCACCGTGGGGATAAGGATAATAGTGATTACCTGGTACAAACTTTCATAACACACACTATTTTGCACTTGTTGTTTGGAGCATCTTTGACCCCAGGACCAAAATGTCGAACTCTCAGTCAACACCCCAACACGTGGACAATGATTTGGGTCACCACGACGAAAATAATAACATAGCACCAGGGAACGACGTACCTCCAGTTGGCCTCGATGGAGTTCCGACTGTTGATCCAATTGACGTCAACTCACATCTAGCCATCAATGCAAATTTGGCCGTCGATCCCGAGAGCAGCATCCGTAGAGCCATTCGATTAGCCGCTCAAAGCACACGTGGCAGCGAAGAGGGCGGGATGAGCCTGCAGGTGATCTTCGAAATGTTGCAGGCTCAACAAGCAGCGTTAACCAAACTCCAAAACCAGAATCACCCACCGAGCAGGATCGAACCCGAGTCGTCCTAGAAAGTTATCCATAGGGTCGAATCGGTTTCAAGGAAATCAAACGAGAAGGAATCGGGGGCTGATCCTGCAATCATGAAGATGCTCGAAGAGCTGACAAAACGAGTTGAGTTTGGGAAAAAGAAGATAGAGGCAAACGACAAGAAGGTAAAAACTTATAACTCCACGGTCGATCAAATCCTGGGGGTACCACCAATATTGAAGGGTCTGGATTTCAAAAAGTTCGTGCGAAAACCCTCCCCCCTGAGTGCGGCTCCCAAACCGATTCCCAAGAAGTTTCGCATGCCCGAGATTCCTAAATACAATGGAACGACCGACCCAAACGAGTATGTTAACTCTTACACATGTGCTATCAAAGGGAATGATCTAGAGGATGATGAGATCGAATATGTCTTGCTAAAGAAATTTGGGGAAACCCTGTCAAAGGGAGCTATGATATGGTACCACAATTTACCACCTAACTCTATTGATTCGTTTGCTATGCTTACAGATTCTTTTGTAAAGGCACACGCTGAGGCCATCAAGGTCAAAACTAGGAAGTCAGACCTTTTCAAGGTAGGGAAGAAGGACAACAAAATGCTCAGAGAATTCGTGTCTCGATTCCAAATGGAACGAATGGATTTGCCACTAGTTGCTGATGATTAGGCTGTTCAAGCTTTCACCCAAGGTCTCAATGTTCGAAGTTCAGTGGCTTCGCAGTAGTTGAAGCAGAATTTGGTATAATACCTGGCTGTTACTTGGGCCGATATGCACAATCGATATCAATCAAAGATCAGGGTCGAAGATGACCAGCTTGGTGCTCCTTCCGGGTCCGTTTATCCTATCAGGCCCGTTGATAGGGACATTGACCGAGAACTGAGGTTGAACAGAGATTGGTACCGGTCGTATAATGGAGATCGTAGGAGCAGCGAAAATCCTATATGAAATGAAAGGAGGAGTGATAGAGGCCAAAGCTCTCGAGGGCT